TCATCATCATCATCATCATCATCATACGATCTAAACAAGCAAACATTTAGAGACGCCATCAAGATAAGATATAATTGGGAGATCTCCGACTTACAGAAGACGTGCTTACACCATGTGCATGTGAAGATATCTTTGACGTTGACCATGCGATGATTTGCAGGAGGGGTGGTTTTTTGATACAACGCCACAACGAGCTTCGAGATCTGGAAGCTGAATTGCTGAGCACTGTATGTAGTGATGTTGAGGTTGAGCCGGTTCTTCAGCAAATAACCGGCGAGACTCTGAACAGGGGTGCGAATAGAGCCCCCGACGCCAGTCACGACATCCACGCCCGAGGTTTCTTGGAGCAACAGAGAGCTGCATTCTTTGATGTCCGGGTATGCCACCCAAGTGCAGACGTCTACCGTGAGAAGACTTCTGAGCAAATGTACAGGCAGCAGGCGCAATCTACGCGCGCGAAGTGCTGCTAGATACTGACCGTCTTTCTTTGTGCGTAAATAAATTCAATACCGAAAAAAAATTAAATTTTTTTTTTAGCAAATGCATATATTATTTTTAATGACAAGCATTTTTTTCGACGAATCGACAAATCAAAGACTTTCTCTCAAAACTTTTAATATTTGTATAGATAAGCTTCATTTATTTTAATGCTTGATTACAACAAATAGATTCGTCTTTTTAAATCATTAACAATTCAGTTGTTTTTAACCTACTATCGTATGTTTGTCGTTCAAGAAAAATGCAGCTTTGTTCGCCTCCTATCGCTGGGTCCCATGGGCAAAACAAAGCTGAAGACTTTCATTAAATAATTGTATTTAATTTTTTTCCGGTCCGGTATCCTAAAAAAATCGTGCGTTCTGATTGGCTGTTTGAGCGGGCGGTATTTTGTCAGTATCTGTTCGCGCTCGCGGTCCGGTATCCTTTGCCGCTAAACAACAAAACGAAACGATTACAAAAACAAGTAAAAAAATACGGGGAAAAATAAATAAGTTATTCACCGTCCTATAGTCGGTCGGGATAAGGAAAAACTGTGCCCTCGGTCTTGAAAACGGACCTCGGCCTAACGGTCTCGGTTCGTATATTCAAGACCTCGGTCACAGTTTTTCCCTATCTGGACCTCCTGGCCGGTAAATAATATATATGTATAAAGACCTTTTATCATATAATTATCCATAAAATACCTATATTTCTCCTTTTCGAAAAACTGATATTTTCACATCTGAAAATAACATGTTATTTTCACATCTGAAAATATCGTTACCTTCCGTATTTAAGCTATTAGTTAGTTAGTTATGATAATAAAAAGCCGTTATTAAGTTGATTTTATGGATAATTATATAATAAAGAGAATATTACATGGGTGCTTGGAGATCTTAAGTTTTCAAGCTTTTCGAAAAAATAGTTAAGCCTTTCTATGAAAGGAATGAAAATATTTTAATCAAGAATTAGAATAAGAAATTTATTTTTTAACTGACACATTTGGTTTTGACGTCTAGGGCCTTCATTTGACTAGTTTAGTTAATTAATGATCTCCAGCTAGTTTTCTCTCTGATGCTACCAAGCAATTGATCTCTTAATTTCATTGTGGTAAAAATGCAATTCTTATAAAAACATAAAACTCTTCATAGCTTATATTTGCTCACCTTTTCTTTAGTTTTCAAGTCTGTCTTAAGCCCGTGTTGATTTGTCCATAAAAAGTTTGGAAATCTCCGAAATTTGGGTTTTAATGAAAGACATCCAAGTTAAATTTCACTAAACTTGACATTTTATTGGATTAAATGTAGTTATCTTTCGTTTTTCAATTAAAATTAACCAGGAATTCAAAGCGTAATAATTTCGGCCATGCAAACGTTGTCGAAGAAGTTTTCAAGTACAAAACTAGCCCCTGGGGTGGACGGTGGTGGGTTGTGTACATGTGACAAAATTCCTAAGTGGGAGAGTAGAGTGCAAACAATATAACCGCGAAACTTTATTAATACTAAATAGCACAATTTCATGCAAATTTCATTGTTTTCTATTGTTTAATTAGCACTATTTTGTACTATTTAGTAATTAGTGTTTCACGGATTAATTGTTTGCACTCTACTAAGGTCGAAAACAAAGACTCGTGCGAAGAAAACGATGTAGTGCATTTCTATTTCATTTTTTCACTTCGCGGTTTTCATTATGGGGGACATTATCTTCATCTCGGAGAAAAAAATTGAAGATTTTTTTCTTGATATTATTATCATCTTTCAGTTTTATCTAAATTGGGCTCCCTTTCCCTTTTGGGAGCTTCGCTTTTAGGTAGTGCCTAAATTTATATATTTAAGTATCTTATTTATCAATTGAGGCCCCGTCCACACGTATCCGCAAATTTTTGTATCCGCAATTTTTTTTACGGATACGGGTTGCGTCCACACGTGTCTGTATCCGCAAATTTTACGAAAACGGATACGTGTGGACGGTGAAAACGATTCGAATACGCTGCGTGTGGACGCAAACATTTTCGTATCCGCAAAAAATAATTTGCGGATACAAAAATTTTCGGATACGTGTGGACGGGGCCTGAGAAGGTTTTCTATCAAATGTTGCTCATTATAAATGCGAAGTCTATATATAGTTATTAACCGGGTTAATAACTAACCATATATTGACCTCGCATTTATAATGAGGGTTATAACAAAAATAAAGCCTTGTGAATAACAAAGAAAACCGTGTCAATTGAGAAATAATAGCCAAATATTACTGACATAACATTGGAACCTGGCCGCGGAACCAGAACACTGAACACCAGCATCAATAGTGTGATCGATGCACCATGAGCTAACATTACCCCATCCAGGATGAGGACAATCCTGGATTGAGGCCTCTGAGCCTGTAAATAACATTTTATCCATCCATGGTGCCAGTAGGTGCCAGTAAATTAAAGCTTTCCTAAAACCAAGTCTACATGTCACATTGTCCACCTCCCAATAAAAGTCAACATTGCAAAGTGTTCTCTCATAATTGCATGATAGAATAATATGGGTAACAAAATAAATAAATTAAAATAAATGTCTGCCCGAGCGCTTGTTATTTCTTTCATTGTGCATTTATGACAATTAGTATAAAATCAATTTCGTAGTTGAACAATAAATGGTAGAAAGGTTTTCCTTGGAAAAATTTGTAACAATCGCATGTTGTTTAGCCAGACTGGTCCTTGCTCCCCATAACCATACCACCAACGAAGTACAGCTTTGGTAAAACCAAGTTGTCGACATGCAACCTTGGCATTACTCCAGTGCCAGTTATCATGACACACGGTTCCCCACTTTCCACCGTGGAAAACTTGAACTATACCAGTAACACCAAGCAATATCGTGTTAAGTCTCTTAGGATTTTGTTGTAACAAAATCGTATATACTCATTTCAATAAAGTTAGTCACCTGAAATGCTACAAAGGTGAGACCGACAAGGATTATGGGTAGAAACATGTTTCAGCTGCTTGACAGTGTTGATGGACTTCCACATATTTCACCAGTTACATCCCGTCTCTTTTGTACATACTCAAGCAGCAGTTTGTGTCAAAAAGCTTTACTTGTTTGATATGATAGTTTCCCATGATCCGCAGTAATCTCAGCTCTCTAGTTTTCGGTGACTAATTTTATTGAAATAAGTATCAACAAGAATAAAACAAATGAGAACTTACAACCCCAAATCCAGCATGAGAAATATACTACTTAAGCGATAGAAGAGGACATGTTAAGGATGCTATACAAGTCTATTACAATGGTCAGTGGGGAACAGTGTGTGATGATTCCTGGAATATGAATGATGCCAAGGTTGCTTGTCGACAGCTTGGTTACGCCAAAGCTGCAAATTACTGGTGGTACAATGGACAAGGAGAGGGGCCAGTGTGGCTGGATGACATGAGGTGTACAGGCTCTGAGGCCTCACTTCTGGACTGTCCTCATCCTGGATGGGGAGTTGTCAGCTCAAATTGCGTTCACACTGACGATGTTTTGGTTGAGTGTTCTGGTTCCCCGTCCGACCGAAATTGTTCTTTTGCCATATAACATTTGGTTACGGTTTTGATAGCGTTTTCTATTAAAACAGCCATTTTACTTTTCGGTGATAATTAAATCAAATTACAAATATATGCATAACTAATAATTGTTTTGTATATTGCATTTAATCTAAACTCCGCATAACGAAAATAAAGAGGAATTAATTAGAAATATTTTTTTCATAATTTGATTCTAAAGCTCCCAAAATGGATTAAAATAACTGTTTTAGTTTATACTAACAAGGTTATTTCAAAATGTTAAAAAATGTCAATCTATACTTTAAATGATACATTCCTATTTGATATTTTATTATTTGATATTTTTATTTCGTAACTTAATGAGTTCATACCGTTTTTTGAATTTTGAATTTTATGTTTTAAGTGTGCCTTTTTATAAAAGTTTCTAGCATCTCTCCATGGATGACCTTGAAAGTCAAAACTGTCAATGACAAGAACTCTTGTTTGATATCCAGAACAACATCTTATTCCACTACTGTGACCCTTGCACCATGAGCTAACATTACCCCATTCCGTTTGAGGCCAGTCCTGAAGATATTCAGAACACGTAACGCCAGCATCATATTTGTGAGTTTTGCAAGCAGAGTCAGCAACTCCCCATCCAGGGTGAGGACAGTCCCCTAGTGAAGCCTCTGAGCCTTTACATGCCATGTCGTCCAGCCAGATTGGTCCTTCTCCACGTCCACCGGTCCAGTAAGTTACAGCTTTGGTGAAACCAAGTTGTCGACATGCAACATTGGCGTCGTTCCATTCCCAGGAATCATGACACACTGTTCCCCACTTTCCATGAAATTATACCTGAACAATACCAGTAACCCCAGGCATGAATCGTATATTATCTTCAAGAATTGTTTATCACTAGAAAAATGCAATGCTAGATAGCTGTAATTTATTTGATATTACGAAAGTATTAACATATTTGACAGACTAGTCCCTCTCCTTGTCTGTAACTCCAGTTGACAGCTTTGTTAAAACCAAGTTGTCGCCACACTATATTTGCAATGTTTAAACCCCAGTAATCACCACATACTCTTCCCCATTGACCTTTGTGGTATACTCATATAACACCAAATACATGATCACTGTAATTTTGTATCTAACTTGTAATTAAGGACGTTCTTTCTAAATGTTTTGATGCGAAACCCATAGTTAAGATTAAGTTATTGTAATGTCAAAGGCAATAACATTTCATATAAATGTTTATAACTAGAGAATTTTAATTGCAATTTTTTTGAGAAGTAACAAGGTCTTTTTGACAGCAAGATCACTTCCGAGGATTGCGAAGACATCGTATATCGTGATATTTTTTATTTCTTGAGTTTGCATATTTACAGCTGTTAACGTACAATTGTAAAGGACTTTACTTAGTTGGATGTCTCGCTTCATGACCACTTTTACAGGAAAACATGAACCTCAATGATGAAAAAATACTGTAAAACTAATGCGCGCGCTCAAAATAAAACACTATTATAACAATCACCCAAGATATTCGATTTTACCTAAAATGTGATTAAAACAAATATAAGTAAAGTATTAGCGAAATATTACTGACATAACATTGGAACCTATTCGCGCAACCAGAACACTGAGCACTGAACACCTGCATCAATAGTGTGATCAGGGTGAGGACAGTCCCCAAGTGAGTTCTCTGAGCCTGTACATGCCATGTTGTCAAGCCAGACTGGTCCTTGTTCCCCACGTCCCCAGTACCAGTAACGTACAGCTTTGATAAAACCAAGTTGTCTACACGCAACCTTGGCGTCTTCCCAACCCCAGGAATAATGACACACTGTTCCCCACTTTTCACCGTGGTACACTTGTACAAGACCAGAAACACCAAATAATCGTATATTGTGTCTTTTTATTTACTTGCAATATTGAGAGTGATAAACGCACATTATTTTCCATTTCCATTTCCATTTTCCATTAGTTTCCATTTCCATTTACTATTGTTTTAGCATCTACGAAGTTTTTATAGCAAAAAATACACCATATGAATGTTGGCTTACTTGATTTTAACTTTTTCAAACAGATATATTGATCTGAGGGAAGAGGAATACCAACGTTGTTTCGTTGTTCTTTGTAAATACAATAGAATAAATCTTTAGTTTTATAACATGATTAAAGAATCACAATAACATTAAATGTCGATGACCAGATTGTAAATACAGCCTAAATGAACACCTTAACCACAATTAAATTATTAGAACTGCGGGTGAGTCACCTGGCAATTCTACTGCTTTCGGGCGACGGAAGCACCTGTGTAATGAATGTTATGATTCAGTGATTATAAGTCAATAAATTATAAATTATAAGTCAATAAATAGCTAATATTTTTCAGTTTCAACTTTGTTTTTAATTCATAGAATTACTGCATGTGCAAAAACGCATCGTATTTTCTATGTGAAAACGACAAATGTGTTGACAAACCAGGTGTACATTGATGCTCACGCTGGATGAGTTAAGATATACYTTCTTGTGGCAGTCAGTCTTTATATCAAAATAGCCTATCTGACAAATAGTATATGCACACTGAAATATCAAGTCGCTTCTTATCAAGCATAAAAGACTTTATATATGTAACAAATCAGCGACCCTCATATTTAAAAAAACAGGTTTTTCAACACCGAAAATTACCACTTTTAAGGAATACAAGGGTACATGTTAGGGCTGTTATACCAGTCCACTACAATGGTCAGTGGGGAACAGCGTGTGATGATTACTGGAATGGTAATGATGCCAAGGTTGCCTGTCGACAACTTGGTTTCAATGGGGAACAGTGTGTGATGATTCCTGGGGCTCGGATGATGCCAAGGTTGCCTGTCGACAACTTGGTTTCACCAAAGCTGTATATTACGGGTACAGTGGACGTGGGGAAGGACCAGTGTGGCTAGACGAGATGCGTTGTACAGGCTCAGAA